AAACATCTGGTTTGTTATCTTACGCTTAGTGATCAGGGAAGGCACCGGAAAGATCATAAGATGGGAGGAGAGATACATAGATACAAACGGAGCACATGCACGCAGTCATTTCTGTTCACAACATTGGGCAACACTCAGTGCGCGGCAGCGGTTCAAGTTCAAGCGCGATAACTATATCTTGAGGAGGATCATATGCAACAACATCGCTGTATAGTCGATGGACATGCAATTCAATTTCACTGACTTTGAGGAAGTTCCACTACAAGTCCTCTGTAAATGTATGTAGCTCTACCCGAAAAAAAATCTATGTACTTTGAACCACCTCACTAATATAATATAATATAATATAATATAATATAATATAATATAATATAATATAATATAATATAATATAATCAGTGTGTAAAATGTCTCCGCTATGTGTGGGCCGTAGTGCCAGTTACGTACTGTCTATTTATTTGTGCCAACTCAGTTTTAATTTGATACAATGCGCACACGCTAAGCTCCTTACCGAATATATATGGCCTGTAAGAATTACGCTGTACACATGCTTCAATGCTGGCGGTAGTGCTGATGTGTCGCCGCAAGCCGAGTTTACCATGGTGTTCTTGGCCGGCAATTTGACGGAAACACTCACGATTCTCTGGTATGTCATTATATACGGCACTTCTGTGATGTATGCTGACTATATGTCAGCATACATCACAGAAGTTTTTTGTAGCAACAGCGGGAGTGCGGTGAGTGTACACGAACCAGATATATACAGAACAGGCGCAGGTATAGGAGGTATCGACACTGAAAGAGCCGCGCGTCGCCCATGTAAGCATGGAGTGCTCTCGCAAGGGGAAATTCGCAGCTGGGTCTGCAGCTTAGTTCGCTCCCAAGTATACGATCATTGCGCTGCAGTGTGACATTGCAGTACCAACTCAGTAAGGTCTGTCTGCACACCGACTCTGACGCCGTGTACCATATACGTGTGGTGGTCAAGGTTCTTCTTTTATTTTTCGTCATTGACTCAATCTCCGGAACTCAGCGCTGTAGTTCACTGCACGAAACGGCATCTATAGTGTATTGAACGAGAACGGCTGGGTTTCCGCGCAGCTACAACGCTAGTAAGGATAACGCTCCGATCACCCCGAGTGGCATGCCGCGAGCCTGATCTATAGGCTGGCCCCTCTCTGCTAGCCGAGCAAGGCGAGAAGCCACCGATAGCTGTCGCCGATAAACGCTTCTTCATATGCGATCATCGCCGAGAAGACCGCCGCGGGGGCATGGAACTCTAATCTCTGGCTCCCCCGACTCAACGTGACCAGCTTGTTAGATCACGGCGCACTATACCAACACCGTACCGTCTGTGTATACTTTGCTCGATGGTACAAAGAAAAAGAAACAAAGGGGAAAGAAGAAAAAAATACAAAAGGGGGGGGGGCGAACTACAGTGTTTCCTCGCAACACTTATGCTGTCCTGTGCCACCGTGGAAAGAACAAATTAACAAACAGTGTATGAACTATAAGAGTGCATGGCGTGCTCCTCGCTATTTCAGTGCTTGCCCAACGTGACTCTAGTTACAGAGGAATTGGTTGTACAGCGCAGCTGAGAAAATAGAGAAAAAAATTAATAAACGTGAACACGTAAAGAAGGGAACGTGACGAGGATGTGCGTCTTTCACGCAAACAGAAAGTGCGTGGCTGAAAAAAAAAAAGCGTTTCGATAGCGCTTCGACGCAGCGCGGCATGGACTGATAGTCTAGCGCGCTGTCGTTTAGATTGCGTTTGTGATGCAATACTTTCAAAGATGCTATCCAAAGAAAGCGTCCGTATTGCTTTCGTCATTGGCTTTGTTGCGATATCGGCCATTGTCCCGCCCGAGTCACCTTTCAAGTCTGCGCTATAGACGAATCGTTCTCTTCTTGTATAAGTCTGCCTTTATATTTTCTTGCGTGTCCCTCCCACTGCCTTAAGTGCTCATGGGTGTCCCTGTGCAAGATTGCGAACTGCCGACGAAATGGTGCAAATGCATTCTTCAGAAACCTCAGAGGAGGCGCACATTTATGCGAGCAAAATCGACGTGTACTCTCTGGATTTTGTGCCGACCGGCTGTGCCCCTGTGATCTCCAGCGAAAGCGCAGCTCTAGCCGACTGGCTCGCCCTACGCCATCTCCTGTCGCCGACAAGAGCTCTCGCTGAGTGGTGCCCCGTCCTCGGACTGCTGCGACCGTGTCCATCTTTCATATCTCCTCCTTACTTCCATCGTTTTCTGTCGTTCGCTGTCCCTGCGCCTCGCTCTCTCCTTCCTCTCTCTATCTGTTTACCTTTAAATCCTATCCGTTTAATCCCTCCTTACCCTCATCTCTCGTGAGACAGACAGACAGACAGACAGACAGACAGACAGACAGACAGACAGACAGACAGACAGACAGACAGACAGACAGACAGACAGATAGACAGATAGACAGATAGACAGATAGATAGATAGACAGATAGATAGATAGATAGATAGATAGATAGATAGATAGATAGATAGATAGATAGATAGATAGATAGATAGATAGATAGATAGATAGATAGATAGATAGATAGATAGATAGATAGATAGATAGATAGATAGATAGATAGATAGATAGATGAACGGACAGACAGACAGACAGACCAAAAATGTTTGCGTCGAAGGTCTTCAAGAGGGACATTCTTCTTTAAAAATGTGCTGAAGGTTGTAATACTCCTGTCACACAGGCACCCGCGAACTCAGTTTAAACTAACTCCCTCGTGGCTTCCGTGCGCTCACTACTATGAAAGGAGGCCGAAAGCGCCTAATGTGTGCGGCAAGTCCTTGCGACTCTACTCGAGCTTGACGGATTTCAAACATTTCTGCAGGTGTAAATTAATGAGGCAGTAAATTTTTATTGAAGACATTCGATATTTTAAAAAAGTGCTGCGGGGCGCCATTAAGTAAATTGTAAACACTGTGAACTGGTAATAAAAATGGTCTAAAATATAAATAATTACAATAACAAGAAAATGTATATGTAAAATAACATATCACAATGTACGTGCACGTATATAGATAATGTTCTAAAATAGTAATAACAGTTAGGTTTAACATTCGAAAAGCACGATATGATTATGATATTTCCAGAGCCATCCGTAGTGGAGGGGTTTGGAAATTTATTCCACCCATGGGGTAACCTGCCTCCATCTATATCTGAGCATGCGGGCCTCAAGCATTAATTTTCGTCTCCATCGAAAATGCGGCCGCCGTCACGGCAGGGCTTCGATTCCGCGACCAGCGGGTCAGCAGTCTGGCACTATTATACACCACACCATTGCGGCGGGTTGATTGATTGATTCGTGGGGTTTAACGTCCCAAAACCACCATATGATTATGAGAGACGCCGTAGTGGAGGGCTCCGGAAATTTAGACCACCTGGGGTTCTTTAACGTGCACCCAAATCTGAGCACGCGGGCCTACAACATTTCCGCCTCAATCGGAAATGCAGCCGCCACCGCCGGGATTTGATCCCGCGACCTGCGGGTCAGCAGCCGAGTACCTTAGCCACTAGACCACCGTGGCGGGGCCATTGCGGCGGGTTAAAAAATAGTTTTGACAGTAATGCGCTAGTTAATACAAATTACGTAATTTCATTAAGAACAAAGAAGAATGTTAGTCCTTCAAGATGGCAATCAAATAAAAGATGAGTACCTGTATGCTGAAACCATAGCAAATAAAATCGCCAAGAAAATAGAAAGGATAAGTGTAAGTCAGTATGCCGCAGCTCCTGGAAGTATGTGTGAAATTAATTAGCACGCGTCGGTGATTTCTGTTTTTGTGTTCTCTTATTTATTCTTTAAGGCTTTTTCTTTTGTAAAAGGGAAAATTGGCCTTCAGAAGTCTTACCTTTTTGTACCCCTAAACACACGGTTGACTTTACAGACACAGCTTTTCTCTCACGCCTATATTCGCCAAAACCAAATCTCACACGAACAGTTTTTTTTTCCGCGCATCATAAAAGAATGGAACTCTTTACCTGTTCACGTCATACAATCGAAAAACTTTACGAAAGAATTGGAAAACTACTTCTCTAATGTTTAGTATAAATATGATCAGTGTTAAACATTTCTTACAATTGTGTCGTGAATCCCATGCCCTGTGTAGTGCTCTGTCTTAAGATTTTTTTTGTTGCTATCACTTGTGTAAATTGTTTCGCGAAGCAAGCGTCTTGCACTGTATATTTTTCTTCTTGCATTGTTAGTCTTATTGTGAATGCCTTGTTATTGTATTTTGTATTTGCCCCTCCTGCATGGGCCAGCATATTGACCTGCAGTATCGATAAATAAATAAATAAAAAAGGCACGAACAACGCCTTAACATTTCTTCTGTAACGACACGACAAAACGATTGGGCAGGAACTGACCCTCTGAGGCCACTTTCGCCAACACCTTTTGAAAAACCATTAGAGATTAAAACGAACTTCCCGAAGATATCGTAAACTTGAGTGACAACAGCGCTCTTTTTTCCATCGTTGTGACATCGTGACATGCCTATTCACTTTTAGTACCTGTTTGCCACGTGTCATATTGCATTAAAATATTTTTTTCATTGCATGCTGTAATTATTATATGTTGTTTTATTTTCCAGAATGTTTAAAGCGTCACTGTCAGAAATGAAGTAACCACAATGAACTTTGTGTGTAAACCCCCCTGCAGTAATGCCACTATAGCGTTGCAGAAACTCTGTTAATAAAAAATAAAAAATAAAATTGCTTTTAGTATACCTCACGAAGAGGAGCGGACAAAAGACAAATCTTGAACGAGCACATGCATTAAAAAATGCCATAACTTGTAAATGTCGAATAGCTGATAGGTCGAAGAAAGAAACTGCACGCCGAGATGATCCTCGAGCGTTAATCTTCATTGTGTGGCTTTATTTCACTTCGAGATGTTTATAGAGGTTAGACCATGCACGGGTCTAAAGTAACTGACCAGCTTAAAAATACACGTAGGCGACCGCTGGTTTGTGTCGTGCCTGGGAGTGCTTGCAACCTGCCGCGGCCTGTTCTACCGCGTGGTTCCGGCCGACCAGGGCTTCGGCGAGGCGGACGAGTACGTGGGACTGTTCCGCTTCCGGCTGTGGTGGTGCGGAGACTGGAAGGAAGTGATCGTCGACGACCGGCTGCCCACCGTCAACGGGAAACTCGTGTTCGTCCAGTCCGGCCACGGCTCGCTCTTCTGGGCTGCGCTGCTCGAGAAGGCGTACGCAAAGTGAGTGAGAGGCATCGGCGTTGTATTCGCTTTATGCTCCCAGATTTACCCACTCGAATATTAGGATTAGGATTAGGATGTTGCAGGCAGCCTTGCGAAATTTGCAGGCAATTGCCCCGCCCAGTCTGCCTAATGCGAAGAGGTCCGTGTATGTTTACTCAGAACTATACCGCTGTGGCCCAAACGTTCTGACCTGATCAGGAAATGCTAAAACTACTTAACTGGCCGAGTCGCACTTTGTAGTTTATAATAGGAGTACTGAATTCAATAGTTATTAGACTTGGTATTTCACGAGTCCGATTAAGCGTGCGGAATAGAATAGGCGGCCTGCAGGTATGACAAGATTGCCGCAATTCAAGACATGAAGCGGCAAATAGGGAGAGACAGCAAAGGTGGCTGCATACAGGCATAGGTGTTCGCAATCGGGGGGTGGGGTGCAGGGGGGTGCCCCCCCCCCTAACCAGCTAAAATGTGTGTGTGTGGTGGTGGGGGGGGGGGGGGGACTGCAACGTACTTTCGCGCTTCCTGAAGGGAAACCCTGCGTACGCCTATAAACATTCATGTTTTTTTTTCACAGCGTTTGAAACACTAATGAAACGATAGACTAATATGGCGCAGTTATATCCTCAACACGAAAAGTTTCAATAGGGGATAGAGGTGCACTTGCAGCGCCCTGACCTCGTATTCGCGAAAACTTAAAGTCGAGTCGATAAACAGGCATTAGGGGATCTTCACGAATAAGTATTGAATTCAGAAATAAATTCATCCGTTGTATGAAGTTTTGTATGCGTCTTCATAAGATTGCCACATTCGTTCTAACATAATACTAGTAATACGTGGGGTTTTACGTCCCAAAACCAGAATATATGCCGGCGTAGCATGCAGCACGAGTGGTTACGTTAAGTAAAGGCCTTGAAAACAGTACGAGCGCCCGCACTTTAGTGAATGCCTTAGCCCGTCTTCGCGTTATTCAAGTAACCCCAGACATTCCTAATTCTGTCACAAGGGTGTGAAGGTTTCCCTCGGGATTCTTGAGAAACGTAACGCTTGCAAGGCTGTGGCGCAAATGCAGGTTTTAAGGGAATACAGTTAAATGCTCACATCCAGTTTTTGTTTTCAGAGCTCTATTACAATTCAGGTATAGCAATGAATCGCGTTTGAATGAATCAACTTGTCCGGCTAATAAATCGTCGGAAGCTTCGGTGGCTAAGCCATAGAGTTCCAACTCCTTAATCAAATGTAGATTCTCAGCTGTCGTCGATGTTGTATACACCCCAAGACACCGCTAATAAGGAATCGAGAGCGTGGAGAAAGGAACCGCGAAGCGAGCACATTTGACATTTGAGTTTGCTCGTTTAATAATCCCATTCCAACGAGGAACGAACCGTCCTCGTTTCGACTCAAATAGTCACTCTAAAAATAATCGCGCTTTTCCCAGTTCAAAGGCGATATCAGCTCACGAAAAGACGTGCACAGCACAACGAGTACGGAAGGAAACCTCCTGCTTCCCGAAAAACATGCCTCAGCGGCCGACTTGCCATCCTCAGTGTCGGCGCACAATTTCCGACCCTCTCGAGAAACAAAGAGCGAAAGAAAGCAAGTTAGCAGGAAGGAAGGAAGGATGGAAGGGTGCGCGGCCGAGCGTGCACAAAGAAGTGACGTCCAAGGAGGCCCCGTTGAAAAGGACTCCCGGGCACGCGACGTGAAGGGGCTATACCACGCCCACGCCCGCAAGAGAAAGGCCCTTGTCCGCGCGTACACGCGTACGCATACGAGTATGAAACATAAAACATGAACGCTCGCCCAGAGAAAGTGGGTGCATGCATGAGCCACTTCGAGCAAGGGCGCACCTGATGCACGCGCGTCTGTTGTACGAAGGCGCCGGCCTCGTCTTTCTTCCGGCACGTCATCTCGCGCCGCGGCGCCCACGTATGCTGGCTCCTTCCCGAGAAATGCGACCACGACGGAATGAAGAAGCGGAGGTAACTGCGCAGTACGACATCATGCGAAAGAATGAACGGGGCGCTATGGAAGCTTATTCGTCGGCACGAATTCGTCGTCAGTTTCAACGTGAGCGACTAACTGTCTGCAGGCTTTGTCCCGAGGCGCCTGAGAAATTTGTCTTCCGGTGTTCAACTCATGCAGAGCTGCCGTCTTCAGAGGGGTGGCTCGTTACGTTGTTATTCCTTACAATTTCCAAGGACAAACGCGGCGGAGAATGGCAACGAGACCCCGTGGCTTTTGTCGTGGGCAGAACTGTTTCGTCATAGAGCGCTTTCACACTGGACTTATGGTGATTTCCATTGAGAGAACAGGAGTGTAGGGGCTGGGCACTGAGGAGTGGGGGGCAAAGCACTGAGAGCAGGGCCACTCAACCTGCCACTGGAATGCGCCGCGCTCCCGGAGGGCAAGTGAGGGGGTGACGAATAGGGGGGACCATGCGACTGAAACATTCCAAGCCCCGGCATATTCTTTGTGGGGCAACAGCAAAATACCCGTGAAATTGGTCAGCCACGTATTCTATATTATCCTAATACCTAGTATGTTGTGCAATGATTGATTCGGCAAAACGTCCAGCTCTCATCGTGGTCATCTGTACAAAACAGCGGTGTCAAACTACACATAGTTGCTACCATTGCGCCGCGCTCGCCGGCTGAAGAAAAATTTGGAAGCTGTGACGTTCAAGGACCACGTGATTCGTCGTACTGCGCCTACTCCGCTTTTCAAGCGAGAGCACTGCAAACTGTTCCTGGCTGCTCTCGGCGCAGCAAAAGCACTCTCGTTCTACCAATGGATGACAGTGCTCCTGCACATGTTCGACAACTGAAACACGCCGGCTCTGAAGAGAGCACTTTAAGCGTGCTTTTGAGCGCTCCTGCTCTCCCAATAGAATTCGCCATTAGCAACAGCTATAAGCAAAATTGAGTGTGGTACGGAACGGCATTCCAAGGAATGGCGTTCCAGGAACTGATTTCTTTCGGGAGGAACGCCACTGTTCCATTCAGGATTGGTGGAACTGCAACGGTCACGCGTTACATCTGCGACGGAACGGCAGGGGGAACGGCGTTCCCTTTCTAAACGTTCCACGGCATTCAACAGGCGTGAGCACCCACGCACCACATCATGCAAAACAGGGCGAACGGCTGACCGCGACTATGCTGCATCCTGGTTTTCACTTCAAGACACCCGCCAGAGGCGCAGAAATAAATATGCGCGATGCCGAAACCGAGTGCGTGCGAAAGGGACAGTTGATTCGACACATCTGAGCCGCAATGCTCGAGGTTTACCGTCTGTCGTAGAAAAAAAAATAGCATTATTATGATGATGATGATGACCTAAAAGCATGGCTCACACCCACTCTGGAGGATTGGCCAAGAAACGAGTGATTTGATAGAGGGGATCACGAACCACCACACGCTTCCTCCATCATCTTCATTCTGCTTCGCTCTCAGAACAAGGGCACCGATTTGTCCAGTGTGGGATGCAATAACTTCAATGCGCGAGAAAATGGGTATAAAGAAAGAAAGAAAGAAAGAAAGAAAGAAAGAAAGAAAGAAAGAAAGAAAGAAAGAAAGAAAGAAAGAAAGAAAGAAAGAAAGAAAGAAAGAAAGAAAGAAAGAAAGAAAGAAAGAAAGAAAGAAAGAAAGAAAGAAAGAAAGAAATGGTTGGCAAAAAAAAACAAATCTCGGCGAGGTGAGCGAGATTCGACACCGCCTATCCACGATTCGAAGGCGAGCTTCGTAACCACTTGGCTATCAAATATTTTTCTATTATTTATGGCATTTATTAAGTATAGTCATTACACTTTGAAGGAATTCAATACAGGCAGTGAACTGATACGTGTTTAGAAAAACGTTCGACGATTTAGAGTACACCATACTCTACAGTTTAGAAAAAACTCGTAACGATTTAGAGTACTTGGTACTCTACTATGGGAGAGCACTAGGCTGTCCATTGAAGGCCTCACTCTGCTCGTATTGCGGCCCAACGACGAACACACAGCATGTATGAAGAGTCAGCATTCATCTCTGTAGCGAATATATCAAGTAACGGTGTTTTCCAATCACACACTACAATGTCGAAAAGAATGTACCAGCACCTCACCAATATAAATGTCATTTTGGCTCATTTTCCGTTCGCTCGTATATATGTTTTAGCTGAGTGACCATACCAATTGAGGGAGATGTTGAGGAAATTATTGGCTACACGTTTCTCTTCAACATGCACGCACGTTAGCAGAGCATATCACAGCTTAGTATAGCAATGTATTGGGAAAGGGTAGTGAATGTGAGGAGGAGAGAGAAGAGCAGAGGAAACGAGTATAGACATAGATAGAATGAGAAAAGAAAGATAAATACCAAGAAAGGACGAAAGAGAACGAAAGAAGGTGAGAGAGTGACTTCAGGGAGAGAAAAAAAGATGTATGAAAAAAGAGAAATAGAAAATTAGAAATAAAGAAATGGGAGAGAGAAGACAAAAAAAAAACAGAGAGAAAATTACTCAGAAGTATGTTGGCCGACTGCGAGCAGGAGACGTCACCAGGTAGTGTGTTTACGGGGCATTATTTTCTGCTCACACTGAAATGTTGAGCCATCGCTCATCTGCGCTGAATCAGCGACTAAGTATTGTCTCTTTCGGTGCAATTTCCAGAAAAAAAAAGAATGATAAAGGTGCATGGGCGGAGATTTCTATTTCAACATCTGAAGGGTGGTATCCTGAATGCATCTTTGAAGACCAACTTGGAAAGTTCTCCGTGTATGGGATTTAAAATTGACGAGTACACAAGCTGCAGTTGCTACTTAGACATGCTGGCGTAGTGTATAACCGATGGACCTTAAAAAAGTTTGACTCGGAGCGTTTACTTGGATTCCTTTCCTATAACCTGCTGTCAGCATCGTCAAATTCTTATAATATACGTGGCTTGATATGAGCTTACGTTAATTTGTTTAGGGGTCAAGTGAAACTACATATTTATATCAAAAAGTAAAATGTAACGTTAT